TTGATCTAGTAATCCAAATTGAATAATTTTGGTACCATTGGATTCCTCTCACAGAGACGAATCCAATGGTACCAAATTAATCCAATTTGGACTACTGGGTCACGAGATATTAATATTTTATAAAAAAATTAAGTTATTTTTCTTCGACCCCCTCTAACTTAGCAAAAAACGTAAAAAAAAATATTATTTTTGTGCCCTCCTCTTGTATAACATTATTTATGGGATGCTCCCTTAGGCACATTACATGTGTGACAACTATGATTAGTGCTATACCACTTTTTATCAACCAAGTCATTCTTCTGTAGCAGGTTAGCTATAATACAACCAACTCTATCTATAACTCAAGCATCACCAATAAGGGTTTTAATAATAAAATCACTCTCCAAACATTTTATATCTTTAAGTATTGGTATAATAAAATTATTAAAATTGGCACCAAAAGGGACAAAGTCAACTAAAAAATGATTTTTTAATTGCTTTCTAAAATCCAACAACATATTTCTAAACTGAAGATAAATCTCGTTTAATAAATAGTATATATTTCTATAAGTACTGAAGTCATCAAAATAAATATCAAGAAAAATTTTTAAAACTGGAAAATATTTTGGTGGTAGTATAAGTATAATATTCTCACTAAGTAGTCTATACCTTATATTTATATTATGATACTTTCAATTTTTTTGATATAATATTTATATTCTAAAGGTTCTAGCATATCATATAACCAAATATTGATATGTTGTTCTATATTTGTTGAGTCAACAAAAATCGATTTATTTTCAACCAACCACAATTCTTTATCACTTCTACGTATATGACGGTTATTAGTGAAGCAAATATTAGAAAAGTCTTTATATAAAAAAATTTGATTAACTTTCAATTTAAGTGAATTGTTATTTATTTTGTCAACTATTACTTTACGTATTTGGCATATGAATATTGTCGACTATTTATAACATATCAAATAATCACCAGCTTTGTATAATTCTAATAAAAAAACATGTTATTAAAATTTTTTGATTTTTTTAAATAGATGATTTTAGCGCTCATTGGAGATAAATTCACTGGGTATATTGTTTTTCAAAAATGGCTTTAATAATCAGTATTTGGTATCTAAGTAAAATATTTAGCTTCTTAAAAAACCTAACTGCTGCTTTAATTTAAGCTTAAAACTAATTCTATAAATCGTATAACAATTAAAATATATTGTTACTTCCAGTAAATGCTAAATAAAATTCTATAAAACAAACCTTTATCAGTTTTTATTTCATATTCACTAAATAATAAAGAATTTTGCTATAATTTACTATATCAGAATTTCTGCTTTCTTTTGTAACAATTCTAGAGCCAAAATATATTTTTGGTATAAGTATGGGATTGTTTAAAACATGTTGTAAATATATCAATGGTGAAATAGTAAAAGCTGTCTTTGTAGCTTCATAAGTAGATAGAGTTTTGTTTATACAGAGAAGTATATTATGTTAACGTGTTTTAGCTAAGGATAACCTATTTCTCTATCTCTAGACCTGCCAAATATTACTAGAAATATCTTTCTTTTAAAACTTAAATACGTAATTATCTTGACAAGGTCTTTGTACTCTAAAGTTGCTACATGTTATATATATACATATACTTTATATTAACAAATACTTAAGTATTCTTTAATATAATATTTTTTATCATTAATCTTACTTACAAACTATATGTTTTATTACCCAAGTGAAAATCATTGCTGATGTAAAGTCTGGAAAATAGGGTTCATATTCTCCATCAAACCCTTTAAAATCAGAAAACATATTTCCTAATATACAATTTGTTGAGGCTTCAATATCAGATTCATCACTATCTACTGAAGTCTTAGATAATAGTTCATTATCAGTAATTTCATATAACAAATCTACATTAGATTCATTATAATCAATCTGAATTTCTATATTATTAGCTAATATTAACGAAAGATAATAATTATTGATATTCTCGTGATCAAGCATTTTTTTGAACTTCTTAAAACGATTTAAAGTTATATATTAATATTTAATAAAAAATAATACATCTTGCTATCCAAATCCAAATTATTATAGTCAAAAATATAATGAATTCTAATAATATTTGTAACAAATGAGATATAAAATGAATAAAGATAGTGCCAAATAGTGTTCCTATGAACTAAACTGAACTGAACTTTTGGCTAAGTTCAAGTTCAGTTCAAAATTGAACTGAACTTGAACTTGAACTTTTTTTAAAAA